GTAAACAATGCAATAGTAGCCACATTTACTCCAGTACTGGTTAGAGTGGGAATAGTTTGGCAGAAGAAAAAGTCTGAGCAAGAAGACTTTGGGTGTCAAGGAGGGGGATGGGGTGGGAGAAAGATGGAAGACAGTGCTCCTTTCAGTTGGAATGGCAGTGGCGGACCTTAGTAATGGCCTCATACCTGTACATTTTATATGATTGTTTAGTTTTCCTTTTTCTTTTTTTAAAATAAGACCGTCTGATAACGTCCTTGAGAGGCATCCTTAGGTGGCTTAGGTCGAATTAATTATTTTCCATTTCAATATTTTTAAATCATTGCGGTAGCCATTTTTAAACTTGATTTTCCTCCCACTTGGTGTTTATTTTTATTGTATTTGCATGAAAGTGTATTTTACTACTTTTGCCTAAAAATACTTTCTAATATTCAACATAAATTGGCATAAGTATGTTCTAGAGTTTACAGAAGTTGACAACCTCAACATGTCTAGCTATAATATTTTTACAAATCCCATTGTTTGCTTTCCAGAATTCGATGTTGAAACATGTTTAAAGCAAAGAAATTCCTTTGATCTGTGAGGTCACCTGTGGGCGCTTTGGCAACTTTTTTCCCCTTTTTGTTTTTTTCTTGGAGAAATTTTTTTGATTGGATTGAATAATATGTTTTGGGTCTAGTTCATGTGCAAACAGTCTCTACATTTAAGTTTATGGAAAGAAAATGATTCTTTGACACAAATTTTTTGTCTGGCAACATGGGTGCTTCTTTGTGGGCACTTTTGCCTGTGCTTGCTTGCATGTTTATAAATACAAATTGGATGGAAGTGTTCAATTAAATGTTAATTATTTAATGTCAACTTGATTCTCAGGTCTTCCTAGATTTGGATGCCAAGGACATGAAGCAAATCAATGCCTTATTTCGGGAGGTAATTCAATGTATTTGGATTTTTAACACTGAATATTCTCTGATCATATTTATTGTGCATCTTGAGAGGTTAAGGATAGCAACATTTCATATTTTGAATTACTCCCTCCTGTCCTAAATTTAAGAGCTAGATAACTAACTTACATACATTAGGAAAATTAGTTAAATTAGTTATTTACAAAAAAGTGTGCAGTAATTCCCTAAAATACCCCTTCTAATTATCTACATTGGAAACTATCCTTATTGATCGCATGCATTCTGCAATCAATAGGGGTAGTCTGGGAAAATAATAATAAATGTGAGACAAAAGAGCTTGAGCTCTTACATTTAGGATCAAAGCAAATTCTCCAACAAGATCCTACACATTGGAACGAATGGAGTACTATCTAATATTGGTTATTGTCTTGTGTGTCTTGGTAATTTTTTTCAGTTCATTTTATTATTGAGTATTGTACTGAGAAGCATTGTATGGTATTGTGCAATATCCTATCAGTAAACTGGTTTCCTTATCTTGACTCTTTGTTGGTTGTTGATGTCATCTTAATTTTATATTTCTTGTGAGTTCATTATTTTTTGGTGTCTATCGTGCACCGTTCATGGACAAGTTGCCCTAATGAGGACTGAAGACTCTATTTCCTGTAGGCAATTTGACTCTGGTTAATTTTTCTCTTGAACCACGGTGTTGAAGTTTTGCTAAATATATACATGGAAGTGGTAATAATCATGTATTGTATATGGCAGTGGAGGTAGTGTAAGCCAACTTATATGCATCTTTTTGCAGTTGGAGGTTGTTAAAGCCAAAATTAAGGCATCCAAATCAAAAGATGAGGCTGAAGCGCTTAAGTTTACTCAAAAGAATCTTATTAACAAGGTAAGGATAGGAGTTCTGCAGTTGAGTTTGGGATCCACGGCATGTGTAAAATAGTTTAATTGTTCAGTATAACATCGCATGTTTTACCTTGCATGGTCTGTCCAAATCATTATGATCATTTTATGTGATTGAACTTTAAACTTTGTTGGTTAAAAAAAAAAACTATTAATATTTATTTGTTTATTTCCAGATATATACTGAGTCTGCTGAAGCCAAGATCCCAGCGGTTCTTGATTATATGGGAACTGTTATTGAGGTACCCCTTTCCTTAAAGTCTTTCAAAGGAATCTAAGGATAATATTTTCTACTTAATGTATGAAAAGAAACGGGAGATCTGTTTTCAGCTCTCTTGTATCTCATTTTGCCCATGTGCTTGCTTATATGCATCCTTAATGTTTGTCAAATTACAAAAAGAAATTATTCTTCCTCCCTTTTTTCTTCTCTCTCTCCATCTCCCTGCATTCCCTCTCTTCCCCCTCCCCCTTTTCAAGGATTATTTGCTATTAGTTCTACATCACGACCCCTACAATTTTAGCTAGAGTGCATGACTCAATATGGAAATATATTTCCTAAACTCGAACACTTGAGTTTGGGACTCATTAACTATTATGGTAGATAATTATATATTCTTGATAAATATGGGTGACATCTTTTTGTGATTTCTGTTGCCTACCTTTTGTTATGCTAATATCTAATGATTGTTGCAGGCAGGTTGCAAGTTTCTTATATTTGCACACCATCAGCCAATGATGGATTCAATATATGATTTTCTTATTGTAAGATCACTCGACTTTACTGGGCTTATCATGAAATAATTGACATTCATACAAATTGTTCCAAATTTATAGAAAAAAAAGGTGGGTTGCATACGCATTGATGGCAACACAGCCCCTGCATCTAGGCAAGCGTTGGTTACAGATTTTCAGGAAAAGGATTCTATCAAGGCAGCTGTGGTATGGTTTCCTTTGCATATTGTTCTTTGTAATTATTCTTCTATTTTCTCTGCTAGACTGCTTGCTAAATTGGACCCTTGTTTTGGTGTACAGTGGTAGTCGATATTGTAATCAACATTTCTTTATGTTCTCCTGTAGCTATCTATCAAAGCTGGAGGAGTTGGGTTAACTTTAACTGCCGCAAGTACTGTCATTTTTGCGGAACTATCCTGGACCCCAGGTGACCTAATTCAAGCTGAAGATCGTGCTCATAGAATTGGCCAGGTATGTTCAGGAAATTGAAAGAATGAGAACCAGTTGAACTTCTATGCCTTTGATTAATTCAAATACTGGTTTTTGCTGTAACTTTAAATGCGCTTCACTTGACTGATATGGAGTTTCTCCTAGCTAGAACCTTCACTGTTCTGTTAGAATTGGTGAGCTCTAAGACAAATAATTTCTGATTGGATTGAGTATAATGATTTAACTGTTGAAAATATATCCCAATCCCTAGAACTGGATTATAAATTAGATCTCTTTGTACTTTTGCTGACATTCCAAGAATTTGACACTTGTTTATTCAGAAACGAGTTTTTCCCCAGAATTTTTTGTGATGCTTGGTCATGCGTTCTTAACCAAGAAAGAAAATCTAGCATTCCATTTACAGCTTGAGAAGTGCAGGTTTGAAAAGTTTTTCTTGTGTGTGGACATCTGAAGAAACTGTGATAAGATTATCTGTAGTTATAGGATCTGTCCCCAATGGATAGTTATAACATCTTAGTTCTTGTTTACAGGTATCTTCGGTAAATATATACTACTTGCTAGCAAATGACACAGTCGATGACATCATATGGTAGGTTCATGTGTATATGGTGCTCTAGGTTAGACATCGATTTGATGCCTTTAAATATATTTTGATTTTTCTTGTAATTTACTTCATAGGGATGTAGTGCAGAGCAAATTGGAAAATTTGGGACAGGTAAATCTCTTTGCTTTGAGAGCTTACATAATTATTTTACCAAAAAGGGAAGTAAAAGTATATCTTCCACATAGCCATTTCTATAAATTGAGATGATATGAAGTCCAAATCTCATTTCGAGGAAGATTTATATACTGAAAGGGATCATATAGTTTAGATTGGCATTTCTGGGAAGTATTCTGAATTCCAGTAATTGAACTATCAGATGTTAGATGGCCATGAGAACACCATGAAAGTCGCAGCCAATCAGCCAGGGAATAGCCCTGCAAAGCAGCAAACTCTTGACACCTTTGTGAAAAGATGTAATAACATGGATGTGCCAGAACAGCAGCCCAACCTCAAACGCCCCCGACACTGACAAGTTCTGCAAAAGGGGGTCAATTGATTCTTGTACATACATGTATGCTTTGACTTTCTGCTTTGAATCTTTTCAAGGTTCAAGCTTATGTAAGCTGTAGTAAGATAGTTGTCCAATATATATCAGAGTCAAGAGAGGGCCTTATAAAGCGGATGCAGCTAAAATCTATACACAAGGAGGCTTGGATTAGTAGGTTGCTAGAACAACCCCATGACAATGATGGTGCTGGTGGTTGGATTAGTTTTGAGAAACCTTGGGTGGAAACAGGGTTAGAATGTCTCAACTATCCAGGACACGTTTTTGAGTAGATCTCCACTTGATGGCACAAGGCATCATGACCAATTATTAGAAAGGCAATTATGTCTGTTCTTCCCGTCCCCTCCCGTCCTTTTTGTCCTTTCTCTGCTGACTGCTGTGGGGAATGTACGGGGCATACTGTCATATAAATGACACCTTTGTTTAAGTTACTCCATTAAGTAGAAATTTAGAATATTGAAGATTGTGAATTATTTCCAGTACACTTAGCTATCATTGGTTCCCTATAACTACAAGATTTTTTAAAATAAAAAATTAAGAAAAGAAAAAAGAAACAAAAGGAAAAGGGAGTAGAACAAGGAAATCAGACTCGAATGCCTGTGGTTTAGGAATTTTTAGTATGACTTTTACATAAAGGACTCTATCTTTGATTCCTTCAAAAGTATTTTGTTTACATGAATGTTTTAACTCAAATTTTGATGAAAGTTGCACAAATATTATTTTTCGGAGACGCAAGTAATATGTACTAATCTTCTCGTGAGCCCACGCAGACTTCTACAAAAGCGTTCCCAGTACAACTATTGAAAGTTCTAATCGATGTTGACATCAGAAAATGTGAATCCATGAACGATTAAGCAATGAGCAAATAACGTGAAGATTTGAGTAACTCCCACAGAAAAAATAAGATCAGAAAAACTAGGGTTCACGCAACCCAAATTCCATGTGCAAATTGCAACCTCGATTCCAATTACAACACCAATAGCATGTTCAGTGTAGCTGTTGAAAACTACCAAACCATAGTTTAATGAAAATAACCAACCCAAGTCCAGGCATCTGCGTTACAACGAAGTAAATATTTACGATATGGGCAATTATCTGATCTATGGATGCAGAAGGGGTCACATGATGCCCGGACTAATCCAAACGCATCTTGATTGACATAACTACTAATCCAAACGCGTCACCTGATTAACATAACGCATCTTGATTGACATAACTACTAATGCAAACGCATCACTTGATTAACATAACTACTAATCCAAACGCATCACTTGACTAGCATAACTATTTTATGTTGCTTAAATTGATCGTCAAGGGGTAGCAGCAGCACCAGAACCTGAATCGCTCTGATTCTCCCCAAAGAGACTAGTCACAATAGCATCTACGTCCTCCAAAGAGACCCCAAGGTAGAGGGGGTTAGCAGGAATCTGAACAGAATCATTATTTAATACCTCAGTGAAACCTTCAACAGAGTTTTGAACCCTCACATTGGGACCGCTTTTGCACTTCCCCATGCACTTGCAACCAACAACAGCACCTTCAGCACCCATAACCCTCTCAAATTCTTGAAGCAATGCAGGAGCTCCTGACTTTTTACATTTGTTGCCCACGCAGACTTCAATCCTCTTTTGAGGCGCAGTGGTAGTTGTTGCTATACTGTCAATTTTAGAGACAACATTGATGCTGATAACATTAGGATCAGCAGGGATTTCTTTTGCATGATGTGCATCAAGCTCAAAAAGGTTCTCGTTAGTAGTCTTTCCTTGAGACAAAGAGCTCGGTGGGGAGAGCACAGCAGCCTCCTGAACAGGTGACTGTAATTGATCTGCTGTTGCTAGGGCAAGGGCAGCATTTGCTCTCAGGCTGCGCATATCAACCACCTCTCCACAATCGCTGTCACTTGATTCAGATGAAGATGAAGATTCACAATCAGGCGCAGTTTTCATCCTGGAGGCTTTTAGCTTGGCCTTCTCTTGTTTCTTCAGCCTCTTCATTTCCTTCTTCTCTGCTCTAAGTTGTTCTAGTTGTTTCAGTAAAACCTCAGCAGCATCCTGTGTAAGGAAAGAACAAATAAGAGTATGACACGCAAGGGGAGCTGAGCTCCATCAATTTTACACATAACGGAACACAATCCATTGAACATCCACGACTTGAAGTTCATACAACCTAATAATAGTTTTTTATCTGTTTTCCAAGAAAAAGGGACTAAAATGGCACATTTCTATTCTACGGATAAATCTTTGCGCTTCCGCCAATTATCAAATCTTAAAATGCATTTGTATTGCCGGCTAACATGAAAAAACAGATACTTAATGAAGTATTAACAATTCATAAACCTATTGCCCTATCCCCCCAACTTTTCAATTCAACGTCGATCATCACTCAGACAGAGAACTAGAAGTGAACTTATAAGACTACAATCTTAAACGTGCCAAAACACAAAGTTAATTGCTTCCCAAAAAATAAAATAAGATCACCACAAATCAACCGAGTTATGTGCAGTGCAAGAGTGAAAACAAGAGACTCACTGAGGTTAGCTTCCCCTGAAGCTCCTCCAACAAATTAAGCTTTTCCGAATCCAAAGAGAAACCTAATTCAGAGGCCATCGATAAGCCATTATACAAGCCCTTGAGCAGTTTCATCTTCTTAGTCGTCAGAACTGCCGAACCCTTTAGCTTGTCCCTACCACCGCGCCTAGGAGTAGAAGCCTGGTAATACTGGAGATGACCATCGTCATAAAATCCAGAATCCGATCTAGCCCTCACCGAAACCCCAACATCCCGAACGCGCCTATTTAAACAAGCACCATCGCCACCCACAGCCACCGACCCGCCGGACGCTAGTCGCCGACGAAAAGGCAGGCTATCAGTTCCGGCGCCGTAGATGTTGGAGACCCGCTGGAGAACGGTACCGGAAACTTCCATAGCCTAAGAATCGAAGTGGGAATTGGCCTTTTCTTCTTCAGGGAATTGCTCTGTTTCTTGTGGCCAAAATTAAAGATTGCCATGTTTCTCTCGTGTTAAGGGAGGAATTCATCAGGAGATTCAAAGGAATACCACGTGGACGCCTGAGATTTGCCAATGATGGCGTGGCATTCTCTCTTAGTTTCCCTTCTGGAGGCGCCCGATCATTTATGTTTCGCACGCTATTTCTTCTTCCAAACACACGAACAAGATCAATCTAGTCCGTCCAATGTTGCTTTAGATATTGGACAGTAAAGATGATGACCACGTGGTAACACTAAGTCTACCCCTAGTGCACTTCCTGGACGTGTCAGTTTTTCTTTGCCACCTTGGAAGTGTCATTCGGATAATTCAAATATTTAATTAAAATTAGTACTCCCTACTTATTTTTATGATGAGCAGAACATTAGTATATCATGTAATTCACATCTCAAGTAATACTCCTCTAATTCTTACGGTAAAATACTTTTAACTACTTCAAACCTCTTTAAAAAAGTTAATTGTTTTAATAAAATAAAAAATATGATGTATTTTTTATCTTTAATTTTAAATAATTATATAAGTATATTAAATACTTTCATGATAATTAAAAAATTTAAAAAAATTTAATTATTATAAAATCTCCTGCATTTTGAATAAAAAATTACTTCCAAAAGTATAATTTATTAAATTTTGTTTGTTTATTAGTGGTGTTTTATATTAATATTCTTATTTTTTTTGGCCAACTTGATATTGTTATATTAATTAAATTGATGGTCTTAAATGTACTGATGATCATAATGAACATTTTATTGTGCTTCACGATAAAATTTAAAATAAAAAGTATTTTACGACTTAGGATTTTTGACTTTTAATTTTCTGCCAGCTCTTTTATACTTTGTTCACTCATTCTTTTATCATGAAATCTTAGGGAAAGGTTTTTTTAAATTTTTTATTTGTTATAAAAGCTTTGCAAGGGGATTTGAATAAACTCAAGATGAATTTGTTTTAGTTGTTGTATTAGGATAGCAAACACTCAATTTAAGTTTGTAATTTAGTGTAAAATCTCAAATGTGATATTGAAGATTAGATATAGATCATGTGATTTGGTTGAATTAATATAAATCTTTGTGTTAAACTTTTCTCTCCTTAAACTTCATCTGGTTTATAAGCTCTTCATTAACTTTGTTTTGAAAAAGGAAAAACATAACTTTAGATCTTTACACTTTGTTTATATTTTGTTATTGGTCTTTATACTTTTTTTGATATTTTAGTTATCTACACTTTTATTTTTTATTATTTTATGTCCTTCCAAGGTCCATACACTTTATTCATAAAGGAACCTAAAATAATAAAAAATAAAAGCATATGGACCCAAAACACAGGAAAAAAGTGCAATGATTAGTAATAAAACGCGAGTAAAATGTAGGGATTTAAAATTTTGTTTTCCTTTTGATAAAAGTTTAGTTATTGCTTTATTTGGGAAAAAAATTTGAAATTCAAAGAACACCCAATCCATGACTTCTTAAATGCCAACTTATTACTAATATTAACCCTTGTTATGTGAGACCATTATTACTAATGGTACTCTCATGGATAAATTGAGAATGCTTTTAACATATATATTGAATATGACTACATAAACTCAAATTCAAAATCATATGATAAATTAATTCAACTCCATCAACCAATTAACCAAATGGCCCTTGATATATTGTGTTGTGTAACATCCTGATTTTTTATATAATAAAAAAATTATGAAATTTAGGTTTTGAGAAAAAAAATGATAATAATAGGAATTTATATTATTTGAGGTTATTTAGAAATAATATTATGGATAGGTATTTAATTATGAATTTAAAAATTTAAATTTAAAATCACATAAGCAATATTTAGTTAAGATATAATACATAAATAATTTTTTTTATGTATGTGTTGAAAAAAATAAAGAGAAGGTAGAAGGAACAAAAAAAAAGGGGTGGAAGGTTGTTGTTTCTAAGTCCCACATTGGTTAGATGAGGGAAGAGAAGAGGTGCCTTCATGTATAAAAAGGAGGGGGTGTGTGCATTAGGAAGCATGAGAGGCTAAGATGCAATTTAGAGAAAATTGCAACTTTTGGCCCAAAGGTTTGAATAATTAAATTCAAACCTATAGTTTTTTTTAATATAATTTTGGTACTCACAATCCCATTTTTATATTATTTTTCTCTCTTCTTCTCACGTTGCTCGGCGTTTTCTCGAAAGGGGGGATTATTTTCTTTTTCTTCAGATATGTTCTAACTTTCCTGTTTAGATTAGCATTTAAAAATTTATTTAATTATAAAATTAATTTTATAGTTATTTTCTAAATAATATTAGCTTTCTAGTGATATGATTATTTTGTAGGATAGAGTAAATATTTTGATTAGGATTTATCTATAGGATAGTTAATCTGATGATATGATGGATTAAAAATATAGGTTAAAATTTTTAGGGATATAAAAAATATTATAGAATATTTTTTTAAGATTAAAACTCATGTTTAAGAATTTTTGAGTTAAAATCTAGATCTATATGGTTGAATTTATGTGGAATTGAGACGTAGGGATAAACCTATGATTATTAAATATTTATTTAAGTATGAATAGGTATTTTTGAGGTTATAGAAAGGTGATTTGAGGCTTCAGGATAATTCTAAAATTTTTAATTTATTTTTGGATGAATTTTTAGAATATAGAAGGATGAAATTGTGATACTAGAAGTGAATTGAGGAAAAAAAATAGTTCATTAGGGTACGAGAATTTTAGAAAAGAATTTGAAAGTTAAATGAGGCATAAATCTTAAATTAGTGTTAATATGGATTATAGATCTAAGACTTTCTAACTCTTTAAATTAGAGTTATTTATTTTAATGTAAAATTAATATATAGTATTGTGAAATAATTATGTAGATTATATTGACAAAGATAGTGGTGAAAAAGGAGTGGTGAAGGGGAACTTGTTATTCAAGACACAAGGTAACCATTATTAATGTGTTGTGATGGGTGTGTTTGTGAATGGTTATGTGTTGTTTTGTTATTTGGAAAAATTATGAATTATTGAAAATAAATACTGTATATACTTTCGTGAAATCATTGCCAAGTGGGTTAAAAATTTATTTTTATTTATCATGATGAGATATTATTGTTCGGATATATTTATGTTTGGATATTTGAATGATGCATGACTTGTCAGGATATTTTAATGTATGGTGTTAATGAGAATTTCTGTTCGGTTAATTATTACCACATGGTAAGCCCTCATTGGACCCAATGAGTGGCGTGTCGCTTGGTCCAACTCACCTTTGGTCGGGTGATTTGGCGTCCGAGCATGACGAAAGGAGTATATAAGGTGCAGTCATGCAAATTAAATACTTGTTCGGTTTGTTTGAAAGTATTGTTCGGTTAAATGTTTTGTGTGCCCACTTAGCAATCGCATGATTAGTTACATCCGCATGCAACATTACATATTAATTTTTGATTACTGGGACTTTTAAGTCTCATTCCCCGTGGTTAATATTTTTACATGAGCGAGACCAGCCGAGAAAGCACCAGAGGTGTAACTATGGTGTATGAGACACCATCTTTTACGTTGCCTCTTATTTTGGATTATACAATGTATCTTGTGCCAACTTAGGACATATCTTCTTTGTGAAGCATGTAAACTCTAATCCTTTTTATTAAAAGTATTTATATGACCAAGAGGATTAAATCTGTCCCTCTTGATTCATGACCTGATTTAAATATCATGCCATGAGGATCCTGTCTGTCCCTCACGATTCTAATTGTTTTTTTTTTTTGAGATATTTTAAGACCTGTGTTATATTGTCTTGGATGTACCATGGTAGAAATTTTTCTACCATGATAAGGGTATGATGAGGGTTCAATGAAAAAAAAATGATTTATTGAATTAATGATTTGCGAAAAATCAGTTTGTAAATTTGAGGGTGTTACATGTTGTTTTATTAACAATGATATTTTCTCTTTTTCCTTTTAGTAGTCTGTTAAGATAAAACTGTCAATGCTATTTGGACTGTTTGATGACCTATTTTTAGAATAATTTTTGTTTTGAAAAAAAAATTTAAAAAAACATATTTCAAAATATAATTTATGTTATTTGTTTTGAAAAACAAAAAAAAAGGTTAAAATTTGTTCTGAAGAATTAAAAAATAAACATCTTTTAGATGTTTTGTCACTTAGGTGTGGCATTTGTTAAGAGAAAAATGGTAAAAAATCATTTAAGATAGTTTGGTCATATATAAAAAAGATTGTAGGAGGCATTGATGAGAAGAGTGAAATAATTAGTCTTGAGCCTTGTTAAGAGAGGTGGAAGAAAACAAAAAGAATACTAATAAAAGTTGTTGAATAAAACCTCTTAATTAATAATATTTTTAAAAGCTTAATTGACAATAGAACATAATAGCATCATTCAATTCATGTAATCGACCTCATCTAGTGAGATAAGGTTTGTTGTTATTATTTTTTGTTTTGCATAGTAGAAAATATCATGCTTTCATCAATGACAATTATATTAATAAAATAAATTATTCTTTCACCCATTGTTTCATCAATGACAAAAATAATGAAGTGTTTAGATTAGAAATTATGTAATTTATTCAAGTTATATAAATTAAATACGTCGAATATAATATATACTTTTGGTTTCATGAGACATGTCAGTCGTCAATAGAGAGACAACCTACAGCTCATGGTGGTATGTATATTTGAGGGATTAGTTGGAATTGAAAGTGAGAATACACAGCTATAAATGGAGTGGACCTCAATTATTTTATGGCCTTGTATCACAATTCAACTCTTTATAATCACATAAGTGAATCATCGTTTATCATTATTGAACTAGCAAATATCATACAAATAAAATAGAAAAACCTAATGCCTTTAATGAATAATACAAATTAATTTATAGAATCAATTATAGTATTTATATTAAATGAAACAGGGTCAACCTAAGTCGAATAGAAAATTGCACCTGATAAGAAACTCTAAATAAACTATAATCAAACAAAATTTAGTTATATTTACATTAACATTGAGTTTATTTGTTTTAGTTATCTACTCACTTTATTTTAGTTTAACCGAACAAGGGGGGATTGCAAAGGAAATGATGGAGCAATTCACTCCTCAGACTTCAAGGAATTTAAGGTTGCTCTGGAGCACTTTCGAAGTTTTGATTCTCCTTCAACTTTAAGGAATTACACTCTCTCTTTTGATTGAAAATAATCAACATTTCAGAATTAATATGGTAAGAAACCAAGCATCAATAAGATCAAGTATTCGGCTATCAAAAGAAAATAATACAAGTGAACCCAGATAGTAAGAGATTAGAGAATGTTGTCTGGCCAGAATTCAATTTTATAAAATAAAACTGTACAAGTAATATTATGCAGAAAAAAAAACCTCTGTAGCAGTAGTAGTAATAATAATGATTTATTGTTACAAATATGTTCATCATTTCATATAATGAATCAGGTGTGTGGATTGATTGGCATCAAGGACCCAGCAAAATTTCATCATGTTATGTAACCAAAATATTACTTTTGAATGGTGCTTTCTATTTTTTAATATGATTAATCAGTAAACACCAAATACAATGAACTTGAATCTGACTATCAGTTTTCAGAGACAAAATCTAAAAATAAAAATATTTAATTACCATCTATAACATCAAATAAGCACAAAATATGACGATGCATTAAACATGATGCATGTCGGTTATTATAGTAGAGAGCTCAGTAAACATTAAGGGAAGTACCTGAACATAGCAAAGCATTTCTTTACAGAAACAGAAATGAACTACATGACTACGCCATTGATACTTTTTGACAGGAGATTAGCCATTTCACTTACTCAACTACTCTATTACGGAACGTTCTCTCTTCAAAACATCTTGATATTGCTCCTTATTTCTTCTGAAAGGTTGATACTTGATATTGATCTTGCAGCCATTGACCCTGGAAATCATCAGGAAAAGAATAACGAATGATTAATTGCTAATTAATCATTAGGCCTAGCACCCAAAATCAGTGGCTTCTCAGGATGATGGTATGCCAGCTAAAAGTTCTCGGGATCCCGCTAGATGCCCTGGGACACGTTGCCTTATCTCTTCGAACGCGCACAATGTTTCTGAGTCCAAACCTCCGGCAAACTGCAGAAAATGTCCAGAAACACTTAATGGTAAGAATTGATTTACAGATGCCCACAAGCTTCAATCAGTGATGAACATTTTAACTTGAATTTTTTTTTTAGTGACATCATAATTTTGACAGGTAAATACATTAAATGGCAGGCTAGCAGCCTAAGGCAATATGTTCTGTCGGATCACACACAATGATGAACATTTCTGGATGCATTATCATAGTTATGTCTGGAGATTTTGCTCAAAAAAGATACCTGATGTGCCCTATATGCAAAATGCACACCCTGAAGCAGAAGAGATTCTTGACTAGATTCTCTGTCTGAGTTCCGAATGGATTCAAGCTCCATTGTCACTCTTTTCATGTACATCTTTACCAGAGTCATGGAATGCTTCTTTATCTGCAAAAAGGTGGTGTAGTTCCAATCAACTCAACTAAATCGCTACAACTGTAACTTGTAAAACACACCATGAGTACGAAATAGGACTCTGATCACTGGACAAGAAATGCACAAATCCTGTAACGTAACTTTTAGAGATAGGCTTATTAAATAGTATTTAATAACAACTACTGATCACAGAAACTGAAGTAATACGTCCTAAGCATTATTAACAACAACACATGCTTCATGGAATTTGTTGGGCCGACCTCACTAATATATTCATAGGTTAATTGAAGACCTGAAATAGAGTAACATGGGGTAGATGGATATAAGCACGTGCCAAAAAGGGATCGATGGGCAATGCCATTAAATACTCATATCTATTCAAGCAGCCAATTTTAATAGTTATCATACCATTTTCACGTTATATAAATTTAGCATTGATCAGAAGCCAAACCGACCAAGTTGCATTATGGTTCTCATATGTACAGAGTATAAACAGAAAACTATATACCTTGGACATAATTCCCGAATCAAGCATCCAAGCTGTCGGAATTTTCAAGTCCTGATATGATCGCATGACAGTATTTCGCAGCTTCATTAGCTTCTGCATGCTTCGCTCAGACCTACCAAAACGAGATGTGAAAGAGGAGAGAAAATAGCATCATCATTCATAATTCTAGCATGTTTTGAGCCCGTAGATAAATAAGTTATCTTTTTTTTTTACTTGTCCAATAAGCTGGCCATCTTTTTCAAGGCAGCTCCACAAGGAATGTCAGGATCATCCTTGAATGAGGAAATCTCCCGTTCTAACAACTTAAGTTCGCGATATTCGACTGCAGCTTCTCGCAAGGCATCAGCTTTCCTCTCAGGCCAGTTAAAATGCTTCAAGACCGCTTGCTCATCAGCCTGTAGAGGATAGAATAGGCAGCCAGTGATGACAACTTCTGTAAACCAACTGAGCTCGAGGTCCACAACATCAACATGAAATCAATGACTTTCTACAGGTCTTGCAATTAAGTCTCATTTACTATTTTTCAAATTTGAGAAACTATCCAAAGAAATGAATAGATTTCGTCAAAAACTTACCAATGACGAGAGTTGATCATCAAGCCAATCTACAAACTTCAGCACTTCTTCTATATCTGAGTATGCTGCATCTACCACCTTCTTTATAAGGTCATTAATTAACTCTCCTTTCGTTTCAATGTCTGTCCTTATCTAGATAAGATAGTCAGCCATTAATGCTACATACTCTGAAGTTATTACAGACCTAATAGGAGCATAACCACAAATTGATGCTCAACACAAAGATGCTTACTGCTAAAAGATGAGCTGAACGGTTTTGAATTTCTCCAACAATGCTGCTGTGTGCACTTATAGGCATGGCCACTGGTTTATGGTAGTTCCCTGATCCTCTTGGATTTCTCTTCTCTTCTTGCTTCTTTAAAGCATGATACAAATCAACAATGACGGGGGCCTTCTGGGTGATTGATGCTTTTGCTGGACGCCTAGATGGGATTGGAGGTGGAAGCGGTGGTGGTGGGGGTGGTGCAAGACATGGGCTTGGTGGAGGTTTTCTTCCAATAGTTGCAACTTCAGGAATGACACGTCCTGATGCTGGTGCTGGAGCTTTAACAAAAACTGATTCAATAATATCAACCTTTTTGACCTTCGACCGCTCCAACTTGTTAGCGATGAGTCTTTGTATGTCTTTAAATTTGGTATTCTGGTGCTCTCCACTTATCTCCTTCTTCATCCAAGATAAAAATCAGAATAATCTCTCAATAAGCTGGTAATTAATTAGGCATCGTTCATAAGTATAACGCATATATTCAGTCTCATTTTCATATTAAATTAACGACATGGAAAACGCAATCGAACAGTGATAAATGATCACGAACAATGGGCTAAAACTTGGAAACAAAACATAAATGTAAACGACATTAAAAAAAAAAAAGAAAAGAAAAAAAAAGGAGCAAGAGAGATTAAAAGAAATCCTATGTTTGAAGCAAGGTATAAAAGAACCATAGAATTTGATTATCACCTTTTCGCGGGTACTAACTGCAACTAGCTTTGCTTCAGCAGCAGCAAGATTTTCCGTTAGCTGCCTGTTCTGAGACTCCAATTCAACATTCAAGCTCTTAACTCTACCCAACTCAGCCTTCAAGGCCACCACTTCAGACTCCAAATTCCTGATCAAATTTTCGCTCAAATCAAGTTTCTCCTGCATTTCCTTCTTCGCACTCGGGTCATCTTCATTCTTCCTCAAACTAAAATCGCCAGACCGCCGTCTTGGTCGAGCAAATTGCTCCACTGCAGGACGGTTCACAAAACGACCCATCACAACTTTGGCCTCTTCGGTTTCCCTGGCCTTTTGAGATCCCTCAACCACCTCACCAGATTTTGGCTTGTTGAGCAAAAGAGCCCTTTTAGCCTTCGAATTGTTCTTCATGTCTGGAGGTACTGACTTCGCTCTTGATGATGATGGCGATGATGATGTTGATGAGGGCAAAGATGATGATCCATTGACAGTCTCTGGTGATTTTGGAGAATCTTTGACCTTAGAAGATGCTCTGAAACGAGAAGGCGTTAGGCTTTGCTGGGACGTGTCACTAGCCTTACATACACTTCTTGCCGTTACTGTTGTCGCCGGAGGTGGCTGAGGTGGTGCGGGCGGCGGCGTCACTTTCTTCATAACTCTTATTGTCAAAATGGGGCCTGCAAGTGGGACAAAAAATGATCACAGTTTGGCAGCAGAAAAAGTTATCAAGCCGAAAACTTTGTGAAGAAGGATGATCTTTTCTGAAGGAAAAGACAGCGCATATATGCTGACGCCCGTGTGTGTGAAAAGGGTGAGACTTTGAGGATGAAGACAGTATCAATTATAATAAGGGGCAGCCATTGACAGACACCTTGAACCTTAATGACCCACAAGCACTCGCACAATAATTAGCTTTGATTCTTCTTCTTCTTCTTCTTCTGCTCTTCCCAGTTCAATTACAACCCTCGAAAATCAATCCTTCGACCTATGAGGGTCATACGCTTGCCTTGTTTTGGCCACCTTACGACCAAGTAAGTGAACCCAAGTTGAAGAGCTAGGGACATGACTCCCAACCTAGGTCCAGGGTGTGAATTAGATGCTAGAGAAAGTGGAAGGAAAAAAGTGGTGAGAAAATTCCGATTGCTTTTTCGTCTCCTACCGCATGATCCTAGTCGTTGTCGTTGCCTTTGTCCTTCATACCCTCAAAAAATGATTCAGCATATGCCTCTCTATGTACTCGTATAGGATTAGTTTTTGTTAGTAAAATCTGACAGTTATAGCTAAGGTGTTGAAAAAAGCAACCATTATCAGCAGAAAAAAAATACGATATAGTTGGAACTTTCTCGGTTGTTTGGCTTTGGTTTTGTATACATTAGTACCCTATTACCAGCCGCCAAAATACCCCCAAACATTCCATCTTTGGATGACAGTGCTTGTGCTTTTGTCATTTGAAATATTTTGCCGAATTCTTTTTTTTTAAAAAAATAGGTATGTAAATTTTTCTTCAGCTTTCCGTGAAAAAATGCACCCGTGCGCGTGCGCTTTGCCTTGAAAATAAAGTATTTATAACTTAAAATGAAAGATCTGCAACTAAAAGTTTTGAAAACTCTAATTATAAAATATACTGATTATCGTGCCAGATATAGTGTTCGTGGGTCCCAAATATGAGCCTGTTTACGAGCAAGCGTTCTAAACATATAAAAAAGAATCACCAGGCATGTCCAATTCGTCACTCTGAGAAAAGAATCTTCCATAGACCAAGAAAAACATTAACCATGCATGTGATTAAAATAACTCTCTTCAAAACTTATTATATATATATATAATCTTCATAAATAACATAGTCTACATAAATAGAAATATTTAAAATCAACTATTATATGATGAAATACAAGAATTAATTATATGAATCCAAGGCTTTGAAGCTTCATGTAAGAATTTAATTATGCAGCTGTGTCTTGTAAGGTGAACTTGTTAGCTGAGGGTCATGCTTCAAGGATAGATTCGGTTGGTGAGTTTTTGTGAAGTGGGTTTCCATCAAAACTAAGTTTACTTGAATTCAAGTGCTTCTTTAATTACACTTTTTGCCTTGCAATGTAGCTTTAACTTCAAGTCTTAACACATCTATTCATTGCTGATAACCCCCCCTCCTTTTGTTAGTTAGCTCAAGTGTTTCAATCATCAATAAAAAGTATTCTTAATTTTCAGGTAGAGAAATCCTAAGTATACAAACTTTAATTTCATTTTCACAAATAATAGATATAGATGTTGAAATTGCAACCTAATTATTAAACATACATATAAATCATTCCATCAAATTGCTAATTACTTTCCCAATATGAATACGTGGAAAAAGAATGCCTTAATTCTGACTAGATGGAACAAATACGTGGGTAAGATTATAAAACAGGTCCCTTGGCTGGCCTTGTCATGTGGTTTGATGTCAAAATCAGAGTTTATAGAGGTTGGCTAGGATGGCATCCATATCCTTATCTCCCAAAATAACTACAACTTCTATGAAATATGGACCACACCTTCAACCAGACCACCCTCCCATAAGCCTCCAAACAAATCAAATACATACAACCAAAGCAAGGGATAAGATATTCTCAGATTTCTATGGTGAGTTCAGACACCTAGTGTCATAGGAAAAGTTGGCTAGTGCATTGCGCAGAACGCCGTATGAGAAGTTATAATATTTATATATTCGGATCAACAATGGTGGATTTGATTACATTTTAAATATGATTAAGAGTTCAAATTTTGTGAATGAAAAAAAAAAAGGGAGAGTTATCTTTTAAATTTGACCTTACGATAAAATTATATTTTGATGGGTCCACGAAGATTGGGAATGCAAACAAATGTTCAGAGCATAGGCCACGCAAATCTAAGACCTAGGATCAAGCAATCTTTATGCAATGCATTTATGAAAAGATGTGACTCACTCTCAAGATATCCTATCTCGATAGAAATATATTCTGTTTTTTTCTTTAAAAAATATTTTCTTTTCGTTGCAAATGCCGTTAGAATACTCAAAACTCAATGATAGATTATTATATATATTACCCTAATATTCTAGCAATATTCTCCACTAAAAGACACAAAAAGCTAGTGAGTCACTGACTCCTTGCTTAACGCTCTTAAAGCTATGAAGCAGCAAGTCCCTTTCTTGGTCTCTACAAAATGGCTCATTATCAAGAAAAATTGTAAAAATTACTAGAAGCTAATCACATTAAAAAACACGTCCCTGATCTGTCTCTCGTTAATTTTGCATAACAACATTGACATTGTTTTAAAATATCTTTGTAATTAAATATAGCTGGAAAAGAAAATTATTACTCATTCTAAACTTTATTAGTTTGTTATTTCACAAATATATGCAAGCGGTAACAAACTCATTCTGAAATTTATTTTTGATAATTTTAAAACTACTATGTACAACTTTATTTTTAAATTACGATAATTTAACTATGCACAACTTTATTTTTAAATTACAATAATTTATTAACAAATTTTGAAAATCATGGAGTTATGTGTATATGACTCAAATTTTTTAAAAAATAATGTACATCATATTAAAAATAAAAAAGTCAAACTATTGTTACGTGAGTTATTAGAACTAGTTTGATCATTCTAACTACTGCAAATGAAATGCCAGTTCAACCATGCTATTATGTCTAGAACTGTGATGGTCAGCGGCAAAGCCGAAAAGAAAATGTTTGCGAAAGTATCACCAAACGAACATTGGAGTTGTTTTATATCATAAAAAAGACTTTGAAATTGTGATTTTTCACTGCACCCCTTAATCTTAGCTGGACATAAGTTTTTATGGGAATAGATCGCATTACCTCTAAAATTTAAAATAATAAATATTCATCCTACATAAACAAGTCATATGATTTTTGACAACAATTAATTTATAATTAAGAACACATTTAAAATTTAACAAGACTAAAATACTAACAACACATATTTAATGAAACAAGTATTTATTTTGCATAAACAACAAACTAATCAGGTTTTGACAATAAAATATTTAGACTTTAACAAAATTAAAAAATTAATAGCACATATTTAATGAAATAAGTATTTATTTTGCATAAATAATTAGTCATTTGAATTTTAACAACAATCAATTCACGATTGATAATAACATATTTAAAATTTAATAAAATTAAAAAATTAATAGCTCTTATTTAATGGAATAAGTATTCACCCTACACAAATAATAAACAATTCAGGTTTTAACAATAATCAATTTATGATTGATAACAACATATTTGAAATTTAATAACATTGAAAAATTGACAATATAGGTTGAATAGAATAAGCGTTTAACTAGCATAAATACCAAACAACTTGGTTTTTAATAACAATCAATTTGTGATTGACAACAACATATTTAAATTTTAATAAAATTCAAAAACTAATGGCACAAGTTCAATTGAAAGTGTTCACCATATATAAATAATAAATCATTCAAGTTTTGACAACAATTGATAACAATAAATTCAGTCGTTAACAACAACAAGTAGTTTCTTTCATTAAGAGAAGCAATTAAGTGATTTCTCATGAAAATTTATTTTCAGATAAGGACCAAGGGGTGCAGTGAAACAGAAAAATCATAATCTTAAGGTTCTTATTTGATATAAAATACCTTTAGTGGTCCTTAAGTGATATTTACCCAAAATGTTTCCTAGTTCCCATGATCCTCCAAAACTAAGGAAGCAACAAGGCGGAGCATGCAAAATGGAAAATGATAAGAATCACTGTCTATGAATCTTAAGACATACATGCACATGAAGAGTCAAGTTAAGAAGAATAAGATGATGATTAAACAAAGAGAAGTTTATGACCTGCCTGGCAGAGCTTTTCACCTTCTAAATTTTGCAGCAAATAGAGTTCACTCATGCAATATTGTTGGCCAAGAGCCTCATGCGGATGCCAATTGCCAAAGGCCGTCCTATATATATTATATATATGTATATGGTTAAACTCTTAGAGTTGGTGAAAAGGGGAAACCCGTGAAACCTGAATGAGCTACTTATTCTATAGACTTTAGCAACATATTCACATGTGACAGTATGTGAGTGCGCTTGAAAGTGAGAGAGGAAAAGGAGAACCAGTTACTGCTGTTTCTGCAGCATCTGCTCAATTTTAGAGCCACCGCACTCCACTCACAGTTCAAAGCAATATTTTCCAGCCACGTCTTCTATGAGACCTAATACAAACAAAACCCTTTCCTGAATCACATGTTTGCCCCACTCAACCCCAGGACCACTCTGAGCTCATTTCTTAATTTGACTTCCCTCATAAGCAGTATGGTCTCTCCAAAAAAGAAAGAAAAAAAAAATCAATGATTATTGTTTATAACAGTTAGAGAGATTCAGTTAACTATATATAAGTGTGTAAATATATCTGCCAATTTTCAAGGAATAATCTACCTTTAATAATCGTAGTTTCCTATTCATGTTTATTTATTTATTTTATTTTGTAGACCAGGACGATGCAAGAATTTTTTCTAGTTCTTTTAAAGCAAAACTAGCTTGGTTAAATGTGTTTTCTATAGAAAATTTCATAGGCACATGAAGACTTCTCTACAGACAAATTTAAGGGCAGAATGTTTGTTAATTCATCAGCTTCCCAACTCTAAAGTTCCTTCATTTCACGAGAACTTTGTCAAGTTTTCTGTCAAAAAAGCTTCAAGAGTCAAAACACAACCATCTGCGCTTTGGTTATAAAAAGAATTTAAGCCTGCGGCTTTCACATTTCAACTGATCAAAAATCAACCAAGAACCACCCAGCAATATGTCACTGCCCAAAAACAACTTTAACTTCAGAAATCAGAGAGACTGAATATATACCTGCAAGAAAGCTTCCAGTATCTTTCATATAAATATTGCAGTCCTCAAGTCTTAATAGCTCCTCGTTCATGTGAGCAAACCTGGAATAGGAAAGAAAATGAAATAATAGATATACGATGAATGAACAAGCAGAGAAATTAACAGAGGAAGAAAGAAACCTTGAAGAATTGTTGAGGCGGGTTCTTGACTTTATAATGGGGTTTCACCGGAGCAATTGATCAAACACTTGTGAGGTGATGAAGGGAATGGGTGAGTGAAGGGGATGGTGTAGTGGGTG